ATTCGAATTAGTAGTTAAGAAAATCTGTCTGTGTATTCTAGCCATGTTTGTTCGTTTGGAATATCTGCGTTGCTTCATTTGAACTATCTGGGTTGCTGCAAAGCTATTCTATTGAACGTGAGTTGCTTGGGCCTTCAGCCAAAGGATTTGTTATCTCAGTAATTGAACAGTGGCAAACAGCCAAGCCTGTGTTCTGGTTTATTCACAGGCCGAGGGTCAGAACACATATACATATACGTACACATACACATACACATATACATATACATTCCTGCCTTTACTTTATAAGTAACTCAGGGCACTGAAGCTGTATAATATTCCTTTCTCCTTCTATTTTCCACAAAGCAACAGCCCTGTGGGCTAAGAAGGGTGGCTGGCGCAAAGTCATGTTATTGTGGTAAATGTTATAAATAGCATTTGCCTCATTGAGCGCTAGTTGTTGTACAGTTATCTCTGTAATCCTCACAAAATCTCACATACCAACTACGCTTAAAAAAAATGTAGTTACATGCTCTTTCCAGGAGTTGTCTCAAAACGAGTTAGAAATTAAAAAAATAAAAGGGTGAAATGATATTAAACTCAATCTTACAGATTTATGGATCAATAATTTTTTTTACCTTTTTAGTGATGTATGGCATAGTGTAGTGAATTGATGGTTTTTAATCATAATGATGCTATGATTCTATTTTCCTGCTGTTGTGAAATATCAATACGGGAAAATAGTTTGGACTTTTAGCTGTATATGAACCTGAATTTAAATCCTTATTGTATCTTACAGTCACCTGATCCTTTTTTGGTCTGTATTTCTCAGCTTGGCTACGAGAATTAAACTGGAGAAAACCTTGAGCCCTTGGGGAAAACAATATGTGTAAGTACGTAATACTTTTTATACTGTATACTGTATAACAAAATGTCATTTCTCATATTACATTTTGTAGCTGCAGAAATGGTAAAGTATCTTGCAAATCTAGGAGTTCTGAAAATGCCGATAGACCCTTAACTATCATCCCGCAGAAGCACTTTATAAATAATTCAGGGATTTGTGCTACTCTGACACACGCTTTCATACAATAGTGTGAATAGGTAGAGAGAAGCATCTTTCTCAGCACTATAATTTGCTTTCTCCACGTATGCATTAAAGAGCTGGAAAACAAGAATGGATGCCACAATTTGGGAGGTCTAGAAGAACCATCGGCGTATTTCACTGTTTAACTTCACAATTTCTGGAATTTCAAAATAATGAAAGTGTCAGTGATTTCCTCTGGATCTGAGGCACTGTAGTCTTAACATGGTTGAATCAATATGATATATAGCTCATCTCAGAGTTAAAGTAGTCACAGATGTGCAGGGCAGGGAGGGGAGAAAAGGAATAAAGATGTGGAGACTCTAGAAAGAGTGCAGAGAAGAGCAACAAAGATGATTAGGGGACTGGAGGCTAAAACATATGAAGAACGGTTGCAG